TACTATAATTGAATCGGTTTTATTTATTCTATTGTTAAAATATAGTTATCTTACAAAAATTATATACTTTTATAAAAAACTAACAAACCCAGCGAACTCCGTTTCGCCACCAAATGGTTTCGTGAGAAAGATGAAGAATTTTTTTTTGTTTTATATTTGGAAGGGAAATGAGTAGTTGTCCAACAATGTATGTACCGGCACCATCTACTTAATATATTGATTTGTAGTACATGCTAAGTATCAGAGATGACGCTGTTTGTGAAAAAAGATTTTTCCGCTTTTCTGTTGAAATTTTTCTTCAATTTTCTTAGCTATAAGCCTTGCGGAGCCCGATACCTTTCCAACGAATGCAAAATTGCCGAAATCAGTTTGTGCGTTCTGGAGTTATATCGTCAGGAAGGAAAATCCGACTTATTTCTATATATATATATATATATATATATATATATATATATATATATATGTAGATTACAGAGAATAAGGAAGCACCTGTTCCATCTAAACAAAAGTTGGGGATCTTTTTTAATCATTACCCCAGAATATTTTTGTCTAAGACGACGTGAAGGAACTTAATCTCCATGACGAAAGGAGATTACCCCCATACGGACAACTATGTAGAAAATACTGTGAATATCAATGAAAAATACATACTTTTTACTCCAAAAATTCCATATTTACCTTATTTAATGTAATTTACTTCGGTTCCCCGACTACTGATCTACACAAATAATTGTGTGAATAATTAATATATCATGCTTTTTATAAAAATGTAAAAAACAATATATAACAAATAACAAATTCAATTGTTGTTAATAAATTTCTAAAAATAATTTCGAGTTAATTTCTCGATCAACAATTTATTATAATTAAAGCTTTACAAATGACATTTTAAATTTAAACCAATTAAATCTAATGAAATATCGATAGGTACTGACTGAGGTTAAAAGTTTTTGTTCACTATAAATGTTGTTCGCCATATAACATGTTTTATTTATTTCAAAACAACTTATGTTTATTACATATACAATGGAATATATTTCAATAAGATCTATTATAGTACTTTGTCGAAGCGCATTTGCGAATAAAATATTACTATATTATTCCCATATCATTACTTTGCGCTAATTTATTATGCAACCGAGCACAAAAGTTTTAATCGTAATGAATATTGCACAAGAAAATAATGTTATGATTTAATTATTGTAGTCAATTAACTCAATTCCAGATTCTATCAATTATTAAGTAAATTAACTTTATATAACGTCTCTCGTAGTTAATCATGATGTAGAATATTATTACACATGTACCTGCATAATTTGTCACGTTTCCAACAACGGAGTTATGCAATTAATAAAGAGTTCAAATTGTCAATTATTATCATATTATTTCATTAAAATCATGACCATGGGGATTATGGTAAATTGTGATGGTACCCACATATATGCTGATCAATGTGAGTAAATGAGGCAAATAAGGTATTCTATAATGCTCTAATGTAATTTTTTGAACTAATTAAATATTTTTGTTAAATATGTCGATCATAACTTAAGGGTCTTATACGCTGTTGAGATGAATTTTTTATAAACAGCGATTTTTTATAAATGGCAACCCAAATGTGTCGATTTTTTTTTTGCTGCAGCAATGCCGGGTAAGGGCTATTTTCACTTTAAAACATATAGACAGCTATATTTCCAAGTGAAAACTTATGTCACAACTGCTTGAAATCGGGCTGCTCGAAGCAGGTTAAAAATATATAGAAGACGAATATATCATATCCAATATCCTGATAACATTGTGAACAATATTTATATTAATTTCGATAAACGATATATTTACACATATTCTTAAGCTCTCTTTCTTCTTTGGGAAGTAAATAAATATTGGGTTACACGACTTTGTTAGAAAAGTTAATAATTTCGTTTTTTATCATAATGTAAAGACTAATCAATGATAGATAATGTTAAACTGTATATGTATTCGGGCATATTGGGTTCTTATGTGTTGATTTATATAATTTATAATTAGATACTAGGAAGGTTTAGTGACATATCTTGAGTTGCCCCTCACTGCGACCTTAGTTTGTAAATTGCGAAGTCTCAAAAATTTGAGTGGCTCACACTACTTGCTCTACATTTTGCAAAACTACTTCAATTGTCGGCGAAACAAAATAAGTGAATAGATATCGAGCAGATGAAAATTTGGTTTACAATTTTTTTCAGTATTTACCAGCAACTAAGACCAGCCAGAAGCACCATCCTAATCGAAAATCGAGCGCTCCGCCTTCAAGTACAATTCGTAGAGGCCTTGCTGGCAACATCAGATAGTAGCCTAAATCCGTGGCAGCCAATAAAAGCCCAGTCGTAAACATCAAATAGGCTCCATATCGCGGGACAGCTACCAGGAGCAGGTTCATAAGCAGCCAACACGCCAATGCCGTACTTGGAAAAATATTAGATTAATAAAGCAATATTTATAAAGAGTAAAAGTACAATAAAGTCAAATTATTGAGATGGTTTTAGGATAGGTATCAATACTTCATAAAAATATATCAATCATGGTCTATAAATAGAAACAAAACGTAACGCGAAACTTTAAAATTTACATAAAATCACATCAAAATTAAAAGTAACGCCCACAACTGTGAGAAAAAAAGGTTAGACTGTGTTCCAAATGATTGCTTCTGATGTTTCTACATATTAACAACCTAATATGTTACTTTTACTGATTGTGAGGCTTAGCATCGCAAGTGGCATTTTTCTTTTAGAATGATTTCCGTTGTAAGAAAGTTGATGAACAAGAATTCAAATCTAGCAAATACTTTTTAATTTTATACTAAAGTAAAAAATGTCTTTAACTAAATTATACTGATGCGAAATGAAACTTGTTTAAGCAAATAAAATATTAATAAAGAATAATACTAAATCAATATGTTGCTGAAGTTTTGAAATTTTTGGAAAGACACGAAGGGAAAATTATATTTCTTAAATCTATGTAGTGGTATTCGCAAAAACGTATAGTAAAAGTTTTGTTCACTTTCCACACACACCTCATGCAATTTTTATGCAATTTTGATTGAACTATTCTGAATTATTTTAATTAAATCTGCGAATTGTATCTTCCAGGAAACGAAATGACAACATAATGCAAATATGTTGATTGTTGATAATCAGATTTTTGTGAATCTATTTATTTACAAGATTCAATAAATATATGGAAGAACAGACATCAAAGGTCATTTATTGCATATAGACTATTGTCTCTATTGTCAATGTCAAGTCTAATCGATTTTGTATATATTTTGGATGATGAAATTTGAAATACGATTCATCAAATCGTATCATATTTCAAAAAAGGAGCGAACTTTCAAGATACAAGCAAATGCTTTTAATTTTTAATGGACAAGATTTTGTTAATAGATATTACTAATATATATGAAATATTATAATAACCAAAACTACATAATTTTGCGACTATCAATACAATATCTTTAACTTTAACTCAGTATTATCGACTTATTTTTTTAATTTATGCGTTATAACATTTGGTTGATTGATTTTTATATTAAGTTTTTACACCTTATGTCAGAATTACTATATTAGTAAATAAATAAATTAAAGAAAATTAATTTGTTTGGAACAGCAACTAGATACAAATATATATCCCAACATCTAAGTCTTAAGAATTAGACTTACTTAATTGAGTTTTTATACATAGGGACTGTGTATTAATGTCGTGAATAATTGAATAAAAAGAAGTAATTGTAAATTAAAAAATATATTTTTTCAAAAATTCAGGTAATAAATAAATGCACATGACCCCCTACCACTTGCGATATTTAGAGATTTTTTATCAGCCCTCTCCTTTTAAGCCATACGTGATTAATTGACGACCCACATTAATATTTTAGTAGTGAATATATATATATATATATATATATATATATATATTTACCCAAGTAAAATCGAAGCATAATATCCCGCAGCTCTATATTGTCCTCCCCAAGCGAATCCTTCTTGTCCCAGCGAGAAGTATTCAGCGACCGTAAGGACGGGATAGGGCAGTCCTCGTCGTAAAGCCGCTTCGTAGCTGTCCTCCATCTCGCCCGCTCCGCCCCATCGGAATCTTTCGTTGTAGTCTATATCAGACGGAGGTGACCAATTTCCAACTGGTATTGCTGCAAAATAAAAAAAATTGAATTATATAATCATAAACGTTGAAGTCTTTTTCTTAGAGTATCAGCGGATGAGTAACGTAAAATGTCGGCAAATATTTAAATTATTACCATAATCCTCGTTTTTAGAAAATATAGTACAGTAGAACCTCGATTAACCGGACTAATTGTTTTGGATAGGCATTGGGATAATCGAAATTCCGGATAATCGAATGTATGAAGAATAATGTATATTTATCAAAAATAGCAAATACATACATAGATCTCAACGAAAATAATGTTTATTAAGAAAATGAAACTTTATTATGTATGTACATATATATTTTCTTAGATTACTTTATATATATCTGAATCCATATAACTGAGGTCCGGATAAACGAGTTCCACTGTATTTGAATCAAATATTATAAAATGTTACTGAAATTGTAAACTACGCAAACAATAAATTTTTTTTTATTATCTCTTTTATTTACAACTGTCCAGTTAAGGATATTTAATAAATTTGAGGAATTTGCAATAGTCGGTAGTAAAGGGACATTGTATACTATTGGGGCATGTTGGAAAAACAACTCAGTAGTTGCTTTCCCATTCGATATAATATTAACAATATTTTATTGATAATTATATAATTTTAACTATTTACTAATAAATAATTTTCTTATAAATAATGACTAATTTTCTATCAGGAGAGTTGATGACTTAAATCCAGTGACGCTTTTTTTTGCAATCTTCTTGGATAGTTCTCTGTTATCAAGGAGTATGCTGATGAATTTGGGTGACTGACGAGCTTGTTTCTATACTTATGTGCTATTTTTGCTATTATTTTATTTATGGTAGGTGTATTTGTGTCGACATGAAACAACCAGTTGGGAACATATTTTGGAGCTCCTTGTGTTTTGAAATTTCTGTATTATTTCTATATTAGTCTTATGAGCACTGCCCCACAATTGTATATCATAGCACCAAATTGGTTTGAATAAAGATTTATATAAAAGGGGCTTATTGTATGAACTTAGTTTGGATTTAGTCCCTAGTAACCAGTAAAGATTTTTGTTTTTTTTTTACTATTTAACTAGTTAACTGTGGCGCACACTTCAAACAGTGCGCACACTTTTGTGTAGTCCAAACCGAGTTCATGACGAATATATTTGCCAATCACAAAGTAAGTTGAGCTGGTAAGATATCGGATAAATAATATTTCACAAAATTGCAAAATTTTTTCACTAGATTTTACTACTTTATTAACATAGGCATAAGAAACGAATTAAATTCCATAAAATATTATATATGTTAAAGTAAGAAAGTAATAATAATTAAAGAAAAGAAAATGTAAATAGTGAAAATAAATAATATTATTCTTTCAATAGCTGAATCTTAGTTATTCTTATTGTATAAATATATTATTTCGACATTTCGGGAAATTCATGAAATTTACCATGCTAAAATGCTCTTACAACTATTTATTTCATACAGTCAGTCTCAAAAAACTTGATATTTCGGGATATACATATTTTATTTTCCTCAAAACATTTAATTTAATTTAATTAATTTAAGTACCAAATGGTCACTATCATATCCATGACAAATATAATGGTCAAAAAAATTTCTGTCACTTCTTCATGACGAGTATATTCGTCAATCACAGTTAACTTACGAAAAAGGTACTGTCAATACATTGACTTATACTAGGAGATTGAAAATGAAAATCATCATTCCAAGGCTTAAATTTAAATCATCATATTAAAGCCAGTTAATATTTGATTTTTTCTTAAAACGTTGATCTGTAACTTATTAGCGAATACAAGCTTATATATATTATTTGAAATTCACAAAAAAATATATTAAGCAAGCTAAAATTAAAAGTTAAAAAAATTTATTACTAAATATAGGTTTACATGTAACTACAATGCAAAAATTTATATGTAAAATTGCACTAATTAGTGCAATTTATGCTATGGGAATTTATATATGAGATGGTATCTTAAATATAAATTAAATTTGGTCAAGATTTCTAAAAATAAAATTTATGTTTTGTTATTTTTAGTTTTTAATCATTATTTAGTACTTAATTTTTTTAATGTAATTATATTAAAACGTAATTAAAATATAATTGTAAGGCCTTCTTTGGGCACTTCGTATACTTATCCTAAAGAAGCTTAAGAATTGAAAATGACGTTGAGAATTTCGTTATAATTTCAAAGTACAGCTTGCAGAAATAATTTGGATATGTTTTTGAAAAGACAATGTGTTTGCGCCGCATCTGTCTAGGTTGTCGGACCTGTAAAAGGTTTGTTTTTCTACTTGGACAACACGTTTCAAATTGAGGCAATCGGGCAATTCTGACTCATAAAAAGGCCGATGCAGGCAATAGTTTCCATTAAAATCAATTCATTCCGCGCCTTTCATTCGTTCAGTTACTTTCAGTTCCTTACAGTGTTCGAGTTGATTTATTCCGTGGTTTTCATTCATTTTGGTTTAATTCATTCATTCAGTTACTTGCAATCAATACATTCAGTTCCTTTCAGTGTTTGTTATCAGTTCAATATTATCAGTGGATTAAATTTCTATTGTGTGTCAAGTCAACAGTTATTTTTATTTGTCAGTGTATTCGAATTTCTTTTCAACCTATCCAACCGACTACGCTGATGTTTCCAGATCCAACCAAATAGCTGCCGCGGCTTGGACTTCCAAAACAGATAACATTTTCATACAATATTAATTAGTGTTCATTTTTGTTTTTTCATTTATATAAAATTTATATAGAATATATTTTAGTTTATTATTGATTACGGAGTAAGAAGAATTTTATTTTTAATTTATATTTGTTTACCATTGGTTTTTGTTTTCTGAATACATTTAATTTTTTTATTTTTCCTCGAAGTATAAAATACTTCGAAAGGGGTTGAGAAACCCCCCAACATCAACATTTGGTCCTTCGAGCCGGATCCTAATTATTATTAGGATTAATTGGGTGTATACAGAAAACAAAAATATATATAATGGCGCCTAAAATCGATATTGGTGCAGAAATTGCACGTCTAACCGCCAAGAGAGAGATGTACTTTTCAATTGTGCAAGAAACGTACGATCTATCGCAACAGATTGATGTATCTTCAAATAAGACACAATTTCTTGAAAATTTATATATTACTGAAAATGCTCGTGAACAATTTATTCAATTGTGCGATGAAATAAACAAATTAAAATATTTAGATAATCCTAGTTTCATTCCGGAATATTCCGCAATAAAGGCCCTTGAAACGATGTATGCCAAAATAAAACACGCTGAGAAATTACTAGATAATAAAAATGCGCATAGTTCTTCAATTAAAGACATTGTACCCAAGCAACATTTACCGTCCATTGAAGTACCTAAATTCTCAGGTGATATTCAACAATGGCCATTATTCTATGAAACATTTAATTCACTAATTCATGAAAATACAGAGTTAGATAATGTATCAAAATTTCATTTTTTAAAAGGAGCGTTACAGGGTCCGGTTTTAAAAATATTTCATTCTATACTACCGACCGCAAATAATTATCAAATTCTTTGGGAAGCGCTCATAAAAAAATACCAAAATAAACGGTACTTAGCCACCAATTATTTCAAACAACTATTGTCATTCAAAACCATTTCATCTGGACAAATAAATTCATTCCTGGAAAAATTCGATACCGCGGTGCAAGCGCTCTCCCAATTGAATATTCCCGACGCCTATGATTTCCTTATTACGTCACTGGCATTCTCGAAACTCGATCCGTTGTTACAAGAAAAATTCGAGCATTTTTATCAAGGTGAGTTTCCCAAATACCAAGACCTCCTGCATTTTCTTCAAAAGTCACAACAGGCAAAAAATCAAGTATATGGTATGACCAACAATTTCACTAATGACAAACCCAATTACAAAAACACTAAAATTAGCCGGTCATTTTTGTTAAAAAATAAATATGATAACAAATGCTTTGTGTGTCGGGAACAACACAGAGTGTTTACTTGTTCGAAATTTCTTTCATTGAGTATACCTGATAGGCGATCCCTTATTCAAAAATTAAACTTATGCGACAATTGTTTGGGTCATAAGATAACGACTACGTGTCGATCGAATAAAACCTGTTTATTATGTAACGAACGACATCACTCGCTATTGCATACTGGTAGCAATTTTGCGAGTACGGATCAAAATAATCTTTCTAATTCCAAATCAGGTAGTACGGTTTTATGCGCATTTAATCAAAACAAAATCGCACATCATATTACCATATTGCCGACAGCAGTAGTAAAAGTTACTACTAGAAAAGAAAACATTTTATTACGTACAATTATTGATTCGGGAAGCGATAGAAATTTTGTGACATTAACTTGGTGCAAAAAGGCTGATTTACAAATTCTTCCAATATCAACCCAAGTGATCGGGTTAGGCAATTCGTCACATAAAGTTATTGGATTAGTTAATTTCACTTTGAAATCTTTAATTGATTCTTATCAGTTATCGGTCTGTGCATACGTAGTACACGAGATAGTGGGAAAGCAACCACAAATTACCATTCCGATTTCATCCATCAAAACATTTCTGAATTATCCTTTAGCGGATCCTAACTTTCATACACCCCAGGAGGTCGACGGAATTTTGGGTTGCGATGTTTTCGGCGAAATTCTTGGCACTAATCAAGTTAAAAATGATAAAGGATTACCTGTGGCCCTAGAAACCCGGTTGGGTTATTTAATATTAGGTTCCATTCCTGATTTATTTGAAAATACCGGCACTTCTACTAATTTATGTAATGTTTCAGATTCAGATTTCCATTTACAAATGAATAAATTCTTACAATTAGAAGACATTCCCGAAATAATCCTCTCTTCTAACGATGATTTATGCGAAAACCATTTTACTACAACTACTACGCGATCTCCAGATGGACGATATGTAGTAGCGCTGCCTTTTAAAAGTGAAGGCAGAAATTTATACAAATCATTTCATTTAGCCTTAAAGCGATACCAC